CTATGATCCATTCCTTTAAATCACATGGATGAACAACGTCGCCATAGAAACTCCCGCAAAAAAAACGTCACCATAGAAAAATACGACATTACTCCTATATTTTTTTCCTCCATGTTTCCTATGAAATCAAATAGGCCCTTAATACTCTTTTTTTAGGATAATAGGCATTAAATACTCATGAGTATGTGTGTTTAACCTTTTTCTTTTTGAACACAGTACAATGGCAGATGCTCACATACACGACCATACCTTCACTCCTATGAAAGGCATGCACACACACCCTATTCATGTGAGCACTTCCGAGATACTGAGCCGACATAATGTCTTGAGATTGGCAAAGTCATCACAAGTGCCTCGTAGTAGAGGGAAACGTCTCCTTCATTGAACGAACATCGCTGGAAATTCTGAAATAAATTCAGAAAAAATGCAAGTATCAATGTCATTCTAGGATCATGACGTGTGTAAAATCTATGAAGTATTCCGTCCGTTTTAACGGAAACATGCTACAAAGCTTTTCCCCTACACGGGGGTTAAGATAGGAAGATCCACTTTCACCATATCTCTTCCTCTTTGTGGCAGATGGACTTTCACGCCTAGTAAATAGAAAGACCGAAGCTGGGGAGATCCAGGAGCTAAAAATATGTCGTCACAGCCCTGGTATCTCGCACCTGCTATTTGCAGATGATAGCTTGTTATTTTTTTAAGCAAATAGTGATCAAGCAACAAAGGTGAAGCATATTCTGAGCAATTATGAGCGAGCTACGGGACAGATGATTAGCCCATCAAAATGCTCCCTACTTCTTGGAAATAAATGCTCAGAAGAAGATGGTCAGCAAGTCATACATATTCTGAATGTGGTGACAGTGAGTTCTGAGAAGTACTTGGGCTTGCCGGTTCCAGAAGGGCGTATGGATAAAGGTAAATTCAAGTCAACTAAGGATAAAGCAAGGAAAAAATGAATGATTGGACGGAAAAATATGCCTCCAGTGGTGCCAAGGAGACGCTAATAAAATCCGTGGCTCAGGCAATTCCCACGTTTGCGATGAGTTTCTTCAAGTTTTCGGCATCCCTATGTGAGGAGCTCATGCACATGACTAGAGAATTCTGGTGGGGAGATGATAAGGATCGCTGACATATTCACTGGTTGAGTTGGGAGAAACTCACACAACGCAAAAACCAGGGAGGTATGGGGTTCAAGGACCTTAGAGTATTTAATCAGGCTCTCCTTGCTAGGCAAGCTTGGCGTCTTATTGCATATCCTCACAGTCCCTGTGCAAGAGTATTAAAAGCGAAATACTATCATGAGGCAGATCTACTGGACACAGCATTTATCCACAATGCGTCACCGGGTTGGCAGGGTATCATGGCTTAGAACTTCTTAAAAAAGGATGTGTATAGTGTATATGCAATGGTAAAAGCGTTCGCATCTGGAGAGACAACTGGATCCCGAGGAGAAATATGAAAATTAATACAAATCTAACTAACTCCCGAATCCGTTGGGTAGCGGATCTCATTGACCAGGAGACTCACTCTTGGAAGGAGGATAACATAAGACGTATTTTTACACAACAAGATGCGAATGATATCTTGAGCATTCGACTCCCAAACTTTGAGGAGGACGATTATATTGCTTGGCAGCCGGAAAAGAATGGAATTTTCACTGTGCGGAGTGCATATAGGCCACATTGGGCTGTGCCATGGATGAAAAGAGATCTGAAATTATTGGACCAAGCCACAATATATCGGGGGACCGGAGTATTTGGAACTCTATTTAGAAAACAAATGTCCCCCAAAAGGTACATATTTTTACATGGAGGCTAGCAATAGAATCCCTTGCGGTTCAAACAAATAGATTTCGACGTATTCCGGGCCTCACTCCAATTTGTAATGTTTGTGGTGTTGAGGACGAAACGGGATTCCATGTTGCGCACCATTGTACGTTTGCAAGAGCCCTCGCATGAATTGAAGGACGTGTGGAACCTTCCTCCTGAGCATGAAATAAGCTACACAGGAAAGGATTGGGTTCTTGTCCTATTAGATAAAGTGATTGAAGACTTACGATAAAAATTTATGCTATTCTGGTGGCGTGCCTGGCATCATAGAAATGATGCGATCTTTGCAAAAGGTAAAGCAAAAATCTCCCACTCTGCTCGGTTTTTGCAAAACTACCTTGCAAACATCCGTTTGAGCGAGAACGGAAACTCTGAGATTGATCGTAAAGGAAAAAGCCCTATGATCAATTTGCCAAAAGTGAAAGAACATGATAATACAAAGGAAAAAGCTTGGCAAAAGCCTGACCACGGGTGGGCCAAGGTCAATGTGGATGGAAGTTTTTTGCAGGAGAATAGTAGTGGAGCATGGGGAGCCGTAGAGCATGATGGGAGAATTATATTGTCGGCCTGGGACTACATTCCGCGATGCAAAGGAGCAGACTTCGCAGAAGCTACGGCTTGCCTAGAAGGACTACGGGCAGCGATGTCGGGCACAGACCTACCTTTAATTATTGAGACGGACATCAGTGTTGTGGCAAAGGCACTTGACCCCTCATACGTGGATAGATCGGAAATCAGAGTGTTTGCAAAGGAATTCCAGGTCATCAAGCAAGGAAACAGAGAAGTTAAAGTTCACAAAGTAGATAGAAGAGTCAATAGTTTAGCCCATAGTCTTTGCCAATTTAGGCGTAGAGAGTTGCATGGTGGTGTTATGTAAGGGACATAGCCAACCTACGTGTTGAGCGTGGCCTTGCAAGATTGTAAGAACAATGTTTCCTCTTTTAATTAATACAACTCTCTATTTCAAAAAAAAATGTCATTCTAGGACTTGAACTATCATGGGCTAATTCCACCACAAATAACCATGTGAGCTACCCTCGGTTCCCAATGTTTAACACTGTCCTTCTTCGTATCTGCTGCGCGCTCCGCCTCCATCGCTAGCTGTGCATGTGCCGATGTGCGCGTATGCGGGACGTGACGTACTACGTACGCGCGGCGCGGAGGCAGCTGCTGTCCTGGCCACCGCGCGCACCCGACGCGGCCAAGGGGGTTCGTTCGTCGTCCGCGAGAGGCCACAGCCCACGCACGTACGCGTGTGGAAGCGTCTCCCTGCCCATACAGGCGCGGCCGACTGAGGCTAACCCGTCTGTGGCTGTGACGACCGCGGCGAGATATAGCAAGGATAAGGGGACACGCACTTCCATCCCATTCTACCATCTCATTCCGCATTTCGATTTCGCCACACGACGCCGGCCACAGCTCCCCGCCAACCTCCCCGGTGAACCAAGCGCTCTCTCTCTCTCCGTCGATCGTATGGTGCCCATGGTCACCGAGGCGTGGACGCTCGCCGGGTGCGGCGGGGCCGCGTCCAAGCCCTTGCCGGCGCAGGAGGTCCCCACGCTGCTGCATCCTACTGCCAAGAAACCCACGTCGTTCAGAGCGGTGGCCGTCGCGAGTAGCACAAGCCAGGACGGTCCCGGCCGGCGCGACGCCGCCGTCGTCGGTAGGCGCGGCGGCATCGCGTCGTGCCTGCTGGCCGCGCTCGCGCTGGCCGGCTCCTCCTCCTCTGGCGGCGCCGCGCGGGCCGCCATCCTGGAGGCTGACGACGACCTGGAGCTGCTGGAGCGCGTCAAGGAGGACAAGAAGAAACGGCTCCAGAAGCAAGGGATCATCAACTCCTCCGCCGCCGAGACAGGTCGGTCGGCTCGATCGATCAGCAAAATTAGCCATGCCTTGTACTAGTACTGATCTGTGCAAACTAGTGCTGGCAATTAATCCTTAACCACAGGGTACTTGCAGGACCTGGTGTACAAGCTGAGCAAGGTGGGGCAGGCCATTGACAAGGACGACCTCGCCGCCGCCGGCGACGTCCTCGGCCCCGCCTCCGACGCGCCGTGGGTGCAGAACGTCAATGCAGCTTTCTCCAAGGCACGCATGCTCCTACCAGAACACGACACTTACATATATATAGAACTGTTTGACTGCAATTTCATCTCATTTCTATCACTGTATGTGCACAACAGTTCAGCTCAAGCAGTGAGGAGAAGAGCGCGGTCGACACCTTCAACTCTTCGCTGTCCTCCTTATTCACATCAGGTATGTAATTCTTCATCAGTTTTTCACTCTAGCACTGGAAGAATTAGGAAATGGTGTCCTCAACATCATCTCGCTTTCCATTCTTGTTGCAGTGAGCAAGAGCGACATCAACTCGTCCAAGTCGGCGTTCGTGTCGTCGGCCACGGCGCTGGAGAAATGGGTGGAGCTGGCCGGGCTCACCGGCAAGCTCAAAGGCTTCTGAATTTTCCGAGACAACTGAATTGCTGTCTGACGAGTACATACCTACCTACCTGGAGATGATGTTTTCCTTCAAGCGCTGGCTTGATGATGTTCTCCATGCCACTGATACATGCGTTGATTCTATCGTAACCACGGCTTCGACGGAAGAACAATCTGTTAGAATCACAATTCCCTCTGTTTTTCTTCCCCTTGTTGAGATGTAAGACACTGTTCGTGTCAAGAAATTGTTTGCAGCGTATTAGGATATTAAGCAAAAATAAAAAGTTTCTCCATGTCTCTCTAGTGCCTGTTTGCAACATATTCATGCGTGTTTTCGCACCGAGATTCCGATGTGCCACATATATGAAACTGATGTATGTTCATGCTAAGTTCCTGACCATAGCCATCACAAATCAAACTCTCACTTCAGCATTCACTTGAAATTAATAAACTTCTGTTGTACATGCCAGACAAGAACATAACCCATTAACCCAGCAAATTTAACATCACAGCTGCTAATGCTGATCTTACAGCACAACACCAATGTACAAGGCAGGGCACAACTACAATACCTTCGGCAAGCGACCGGGGGCCAGATCTGCTGCATCTTTTGATCAAGTTACAACTCATCCCATACTCTACATTACAAGACAGCGGAACTGACAAGGGAAAAGGCTAGCATGAAAGTTGCTCAAGTTCTCCATGAATATGTACAAAATGGCGGGTAGCTGCTCAGCCTGCAGACACAGCATGAGACATTAGTAGACGAGAAGTAACTACAAGAAGCCCCATGCTCTGTGCACAAGACTAGCCAGACAAGATAATACAAGGGAGAAGAACTTCAGTTGATTAAATTAGTTCTCTCATAAGAAGTGTATAATAGTAGCTGTAATAGCACACTGCTAACATGCACCCACAGCATGTATAGTAACTGAAAAATACACATCGAGCATGCACAGTAGCAGGCGCCAAACTAATGCAAGAGGACCTTTTCTTCTCCTGCTAATAGATATGGCACGGGTCCTCTCAAATTTCAAAAAAAAAAATTACAGTGGAGGTGGTGGCATGCGCTAATATAACTCACAGCTGGCTCTCGAAAAGAAGACTGGACGAAAATGGATTACCTGTATGTTCTCCACCTGTAGAATCTGAGAAGTTATTTGGCTCAGATGAGAGAAATGGTGACCTGCCATAATTCTCCAATACTTCTGCAGACAACAAAATGGTAGATAAATATTATATAGCCAATGGACTTTAGGTAAAAAGGTGCTCAAATAAGGAAAGCAAACCAATGGAAAACTCCCTCCCATTAATGTACCTGTATTTTGGTTGAACCCCTCTGTTAAGTCTGAAAAACTGAAATTCTGGGGAATCTGGCTCAAGAAGCCAAATGACGATGACTCCATATCCAAAAGTGCATCATTCAGTGGTTGCCCGTTCAACTCTGAGCTGCTAAAAGAACCAGCCGAGGCATCGCCAATTGATTGGCATGATTCAAGGAAAGCATTCCCACAGAAAGCAAAATCAGCGTTGCTCGAATAGCTTGACTCTGTCTTTATTGTTGTACCATTATTATCTGCACCATACAGCAAAGCAGATGCATTCTGGGCTGGTAGCACGCTGGTTGAAGCATCCATACCACTATGAGGACCGTGAATGTCTTTGCCACCATAAATTGACTGATCACCAGATGATGTTCCATTTATTAAACCACCTGAACTTCCGTTGCGCATCGCACCATTTGGCATAGCAGATATGGGACCAGACTCTGGTAAAAAGCACGAGTTTTGCTTCACTGAAACAAGGCAAATAGCAGACCATGTTAAAATGTCATTGATCAGCAAGTCAATACAGTATGGAAAGCGGAGGCAACAAACATAGCCCTCTTGAGCAGCAATACCACTTTGACAAAGTAAACAGGAACTTCTTGAGAAAGTTCTCGAGACTACTTTATACTTGTTTCTACATTACTTAATTGGTGAGAGATAATTGCATTATTACACCAGATAAAGACAAACAGATACCACAGAAAGCTCTAAAGCTGGGAAAAAAACATGTCTTACATGTTGTGGAGTTGGAGCCATTAGTGAGAGGCATAGAAGGGATTCCCGAAGAATAGTCTTTGTTCATAAGCTGGAACTGATCCTCAAGAAGCTTGTTGAAGGCCGTTATTTGATTCTTAAGCATCAGCCTCAAATAGTATGCCTTAAAAAACTCACGGTTCTCTTCCTCAAGCTTTTGCCAAACTGGAAAGAACAGAGTAAGAACAAAAGATTAAGGATGAGAATGACAACAAAAAACACATGTTTCTACGAAGAGTACAATGTACAGGGGATCCTTGAAGTTGTGGGGTGGTTCGTCTAGGTCCATGAACGCCCAAAGTGCATATGTAGGTCCCTGCCTCCCTGGTGTGCCATAAATCATATGTCTTAACCCACCAATTGAGGCGATTTCATGCCAAACATGTGCAATTGAAGGTTGCACCAACACCTTCAAAAACTACAGAAGATCGTTTTGGTTTTTTTTATACAGCAGAACTATGATACACAGTTACATATCACCCACCATCCATAATCATAGCATCATGGCATCCCCATCTCGTCGCCATAACAAGGATAATACTGCCGTGGTCCCTGTCGAGGCCAAGCCGTCGACCCTCGCAACAAAACATGAATGTGGCATCGGTTACAGAGGCATCACGCCTATTTGAAATCGAAGTGGCGAGGTTGGAGTCGACTTAGGCGATTTCGCACATCACAAGCAGAGTGCACGGGAAGAGGAAGCAGGGGTGGGAGGAAATAGCAGCCAGGCACTAGAAATAGCTAGGATGGGAGGGAATGAGGCTTCTCTCTGATCCGAGGGAGGGAGGGAGGGAGGGAGAGGGAGAGGGAGGGAGGGAGAGAATCGGCCACCGGGCTTCTCTTTGACTTTGCTGTGGCGGCCAGCACGCCTCTTCCCACCACCCCGCATACAGCTCCTCCCAGTTCCAGGTCGGAGGCGCATCTTCCTGTCCATCACCTCCTCTCCGCCCAACTCCAGGACAAAGGCGAGTATCAGCTCCACCTTGCTCCGTCCCCATCCACTGATCCACAGATTGACGCAGGTGCAGCACCTCTCCGGTCAGCTTCAGAGCCAACTCTGTCGAGGTAAGTTACCCCTCCCTCCTCCTCTTCCACTCTCTTCTTCCTTCCTCTTCCTCCACGTTTCTCTTCTTCCCCTATGCTGTGATGCCCTCTCCTCCTCTGCTGTGATGTGCTCTATTTCTTTCTCTGCAAAGCTCCTCTGTTCTGAACATGTTGTGCACTACTTCCTCCGTTCCAAAATAGATGACTCCACTTTGTACTAACTTTAGTCTAAAGTTAGTATAAAGTGGAGTCATCTATTTTGGAATGGAGGGAGTAGTATATAAGTAGAAATGTAGTGCTAGTGCAGTGCATATTTTAATCCTACTGCCTTTGGCTATTTAATCTTGTTCACTGCAATCCACATGTACTGCTAGTATATCTGTGGGCAGTGGCTAGTGCAGTGCATCTCCTCTGTTTATTTAATCTTGCTCATTGCTAATGCCATGTGGAGTTGTGAACTGAACACATTTAGTATACTTAGTGGTGCAAGTGAAAAGAAGATTGCTACAGCCTACATGGCCAACGACAAGGTATGCATGTAGTCATGTACAACTCAATTGGAATTAAATTGTTATCAACTTGTCATACAACGTTAGGTTTTTCTATGTAGTCATTTAATTTTCTACCACACAAAGTCAGGACATGTATATGATGTCGCCTCACCATACACCATAAGTGTTAGTTATGAATGAGGTTGGTCACCACAAGATTCACTACGGCATAAAAATTATGCCCATAATTGGCTTGGAAAATATTTTGAAGTACGAGATTTATATCGAGCTTTGTGTCCCACTGCTTGCTAGTTACACATGTACTTTGAGTAATAAATCCTATTGCCAATTCAGAAAGTCACTGGCAGCTTGTTACATCTTACAAAGTTGATGCTATGATTTGTATTTTGTGACTTGTGTTCCACAAACAGGCTATATGTTACCAATTACTTTATGATTTATCTTTACTCAAACTGAATGTTGAATTTCCTTGTGAATGCAATTCCACTCAAACTTCACTAGCCATTGTAAGGAAAATGAGCAGTGTTCAAAATATCGGCTGATAAGCTAACTGGCCGATTAATCCCTGTTAGGTGGGTCACCAAGTAGCCGATTAACTGATTTATCAGCCAATTAACTGGCCAATTCGCCTATTAATCCCCTATTCGCCAGCCGACCGAGCAGTTACCAGTTAACGATTTCCTGAACATTTTAAATGAGCAGTCATAATAAATCAGGTGTGCTGCCTATTGGTTATTAAGGATACAGTGCTCAATTCACTCACCTAAGCCAAACTAAAACTACAACACAGATCTCTGATAACAGGATGGGGTCAAAGAGAAGGCTTTGATGGGCTTTATGTAGGCCAGAAGGGTTTTCAGTAATTTTGCAAAAAAACATCAGTGATATATCCTCCACCAGGTGAGTCACATTGACAAAAGAAGCCACAGAAGTGGGACTGGGACGACTAATGAGCAACTTATTCCACATTAGAGGTATTGAAGTGCACTTTGGGAGTGGAGGAGAGGACCCAGGTGAACTGATGCCATAAGTTTGAGGACCCATCATACAATTTACTCATTTGAAAAGAATTTAAGAGATGGAACAAGATATATTTTGGAGGGATGAAAGAGAATGCTCATGAACGTTCGGGGAATTTGTCCATGCCAGTTCCACTTGACCGGTTCAAACATTTTCACATGTATGCTACTTGTAGGTCTGTTATCATACTAATGGAGCTACAGTCCACTGGTAAACCTTCAGCACAAAGCAGTTCGTGCAAATCAATCTTCAAACAATTGGGATGTTGAACATGAATTAGGTGGACATGAATACATGATGTCCTGTTTGTGTTATTTGCCAACAAAGTCAACATTATAAGCCTATCAACTGAATCTTCTACATCTACACAAGCTTTCTGCTAGTGCTTTGTTGTGTCGTCAAGTTGCACAATTTCAAGGCACAGACGGGAACAAAGAAATATTTCCGTTGGCATAAATACATGAGGAGCCACAACTGAAGAGAACATATTGTGGTTTGCGAGATTTTCCATTATGTTAGAAAATTGTACTAATGGATTCTCGAAGATCAAAACGAGGGGAACTGAACATTTTCTGTGAGGTTTATATTAAGAACAGAAGATTTATCTAGCCATCATATAACAATTCTTGACGCAACACTGGAGACATGGTTTAGTAATGAACTAATGATATAACAATTCTTGATGCAACATCAGAAATATGGTTTCTACCAAAAGCATTTGTTAATGCTGTGCAAACCAGAAATTACCCACAGTTTCAGTCATCCGGTCAATTATGTATGAACTATGATACTGTTTACCAATCCTGGGACCTCATAGCTAGTAGACTAAAGATATCTCTGAATGTATAAAGTAAAGACCATTACCAAGTTCAGTAAAGCTCGGTTCTATCTTGGCCTCAAGGGAGAGGGTATCAATCACTTCTTTCTGGTTCATATACAGCTGGAGACAGCGCTCGATGAGATTCTGGACCTGCACCAGCAGTTACTAGCAACATGAGTCATCGATACATGCAAGCAACCACTTACTAATTTTAACTATCACATATGCCAAAACAAGAGCCATGAAAAGTCATTCCCCCAACCCACAAGAAAAAATAACAAATACTTGTTGCCTGCTACTTTGGGTTTTCGACATCAACAAGCAACAGCACACGCCGCGCATGATATATTGACCTAGACCGCAGCTTAGCTTGGATCGACAGGAATCAGCAGAAAAATAAACGAGAATGCAGCAGAGCAGAGGTATTGTTAGTCAGTTGTGAAATGATGATACTGACGAGCTGTATGTCCTGGCGAGAGACCTTGCGGACGTCCTCCCCCGACATGTCGCCGCCTGCGCGCTCCCTGCTCCAGCCCTAATCCCTTCCTCGGCCCCTTCCGCTCTCCCTGACAGGAACAACCGAACAAGCAACCAAGCTTGGGGGTGAGACCCGGGGCGGATCTAGACGACGCACCCAGAAATCACGAAGACCAGCGTGGGATGGACACGAGCTCATACCTCAAAACCCAACGGGCAGGGGCTGGGACGGGGTGGGGGGTAGATAGCAGGAGCGCGGCGTCCCGGCGGCGAGCAAGAGCGGGACCGGCGACGGGCGCGAGAGGCGGGGTTTGGGGCGGGACTGAGGCGGGGGTTGGGGAGACGGCGCGGTGGCGGAGTCGCAGGGGGCTCGGGCTGATCGATCCGGACTTGTTGGCTGTGCAAGGAGCTGGGAAAAGGGGGGCGGAAAAGGGGGAAGAAGAAAAGGGAGGAGCGATTCCAGTAGTGGTGTGGATGGGGAGAAAGCGGTCCAAAGGAGGAGAAGGGGCCCGGATTCCTAATCCGCTGCTAGTGATGAGGCTTTTCGCACCGAATCTGCTGTCAAATACAGTGCCCTATGCTTTTTCTTCAGAAATACTCCGAAAAAGGAAGGTTTCGGTGGACTGGAGATTCTCACAGATCGCTGTGAATAAATAATAACTAGATCGGAATCACGCCTTGGCGCGAGGGTGCCGGTCCTAATATTTTGATGAAGCATGTAATGCTAAGTTAGTAGAAATCCAGATTTAGCATATGCATTCATACAAGACAACTACCGAGCGATCCATTAAATAGGGATTTCATAATCTGAAACATCAATTACTGCATCATTCAGTATATATCAGGGAAAAACATAGAAACAATATAGTTCTGAAACATACGTGTCCTCTAAAATCAGAATCGACATGGACAAAAAAAAGGAATTGTTGACAAACAACAATTGGATGAAGCAAATCATTCCAAGCCTACAATTGATAAGATGGTTGGGAACACATATGCCTGCCACGCAACTCTGTACAGGCCAGCCGCTGAGTGATGTATGTAAATAAGGATCTCATAAACTGCAACGATAGTTGTTGCATCAATATATAATACTTCCTCCGTTCCTATATATAGGGTGTATAATTTTTCGCACGGAAATTAAAAAACGCACATGGAGGAAATTTTCGTAAGTTTTGGGCGAATTTACACCTGACTAATTGGCATGAGAAAATAGAGGAGGTTGCCTAATATAAGGAAATATAATCAAATCCCTAAAAAAATATCCAAACGTGTGGTGCAACACAATACACCTTATATTTCGGGTTTTTTCTCAAAAATCTATACACCATATATCAAGGAACGGAGGGAGTAGGAAAGATTTCATAAAGAGCAAGGGTATTACTAATGGCACGGGGCAAGCATTATTGGCATCTTGGCAGTCACTTATCAATCTTTTGATCGTCATCTTCAACCTCCTTAGACATTCTGGACATCTTCTCTTTTAAATCACATGAATGGTCTTCAAATAGCATAGACATTCTGGACATCTTCTCTTTTAAATCACATGAATGATCTTCAAATAGCATTGCCCACGAGGATATGCCTCATTACCGCAAGCCACGCCGACGCATACACCACAAGAAGGAGCAGCATCACATCCTCGTCCTTCTCTGTGGTGTGGTGACGGCTGTGCCCGCAGAGCGCCGAGGAGCGATGGCAACCTAGGTTAGGGCGGCACGAACATGGCGACAGCAAGAGAAATAGGGAAGGATAAGGTGCATGAAAGAGGCAGGTCAAAGCCGCGAGGACGTACCTTGAGGACGGCACTTCCTGACGTCCTCCTCCTTGATGACGAGGAAGCACCAAGGGCAGCTTGATGCTTGTCGGCGTCTTCCCTGATGAATTGGAGCCAAGCACTACAGGGTCAGAGGTGCAGCGCCTCGTGCTTCTCCCGCTGAGCATATATAAGCAATCAAACAAGAAATGAGATGCTATATGTGAATAATATACGAATAAGGAGATGCTATATAAGTGACCAGCAGCGCCTTGGCGCGTGGTGCTGGGTCCGATTGTTGTACCTAAGCGTGTGTTCCAGCCACACAAGCTTAGCATGTTTAGTGGCCTATGATAAAGCAAAAGCATTTATCCTAGATCACAAATGCGTGCGATTGCCGCGCCCGTCCATGTAGAGGAAAGAACTACATAGATATAGAAAAAATGCATGAAACAATAGAAATATACAAATTGTTTCAACAGTAAATAAAAGACAAAGGGTATGTTTGGGGGTAACATCCATCAAGCCAGTAATTCAATAGCATACAATTTTTTTGGTGAGACTAAATGGTTTATTCATATAAAGAATATACACGCAAATTAAAAACTATCATTAGCATTCATGATTGCACATGGTAGTAAATACTAAGAAAATTATTTAGTTGTGATTTATATAACTGGTATCACAACTAATAAAAATTAGTAGATTACAGGTAAATTAAGTATATCACCCTACAGTGTTTCATCATCTGTGCTAGTTTCACAACATTATATAAAGACCTAATTGCCACTATCTTCAAACATGACTAAGGCAATCAACTGAAAAGTGATGCCTTGAGTGGCATGGTTCGCCACCCCAGTCGTCCATGATGGAAGCTATGGAGGCGACAATCAGTTGGGTACCGCTTATCATAGTGAAGCATGTCCAACTTGTATTTGGCTAATATCTATTTAGTCAAGCATGCACATATAAACTTCTGCATTTCTTTAGAAAGAGCAAGATTTATACGAGTATGCAGCGAAAGAAATAAAGCAACGAAATAATAATTAGCTTGTTAGATTTTGGTATAAAATAAGAAGTTATGGCGAACCTTCACATCTACTCCCTCCATTCCTAAATATTTGTCTTTCTAGAGGTTTCAACAAGTGACTACATACGGAGCAAAATGAGTGAATCTACACTCTAAAATATGTCTATATACATCCGTATGTGGTAGCCATTTGAAATCTCTAGAAAGACAAATATTTAGGAACGGAGGGAGTAGTAATATCTTATTTATCTGTCCAACATGATCAGGGTCGTCGATACAGCAGAGGCAACAGTCACTGCCTTTTGAATGTCCTGCATACAGTAGAAGAACTACGCGTTAGTATATATGATGTCAATTTTATTTAACTTCACAAAAACACAAAATTTATGCCGACCTACTTCTAATCTGGTTCGTGTTTGTGCAACCTTCTCGGACTCCAATGACATTTATCTAACCCAAATAGCCTTTTGTTGTTTCTAGCGTCACTTTCAACAAGTATAACTTTATTAATTCCTAGCCTGACCTGCTGAAAGTATATCTTTATTAATTGCGAGCCTGACAACATATATATTTTTTCAGTTTGACATAGAAGCACATTTCCAGTTCACCATGAAGCAAATTAAGGTATGCCTTGCTGCCGCGCAACGATATTTCTTGTGCTTTCTCACGAAGCCATTGCCTTATTATAAGTGCTTTTTCTTTTCTTTTTTTTTTCAAATCCCTACAAAACAACAGATATTCGAGTATATCCTCTGAAACTTAAAATGGGGCCATATATATTCCGTAATCAAGACTTCTGGACGGATGCTAGGTATGTATTAGTTTGGTTTGGTTTCATCTCAAAGATTCAGCGCAACAGACCCTGCTGTTACCGCATGAATAAGCTGAATATTTCTGCTGCTAGCGAGTAACAGCCTAACATGTCATGTATTACCGCGGGACGGCGACTGCTTTGATGTGCACTACATCCTCGATGATCCACCTTGTGTTGTGCCTCTGGTGCGCCCACCGACGTGGTAGCTGCGTCCACTGCCGCTAGCTCTGCTTACTCCGTATCCTACGTCAACCGCCTTGCTATCTTCCGCTCGGGCAGTACTCAACATCATAATTTGGTGGCTGACAACAGGCCTCTTTCGCCTTGTCAACCTCCAAGCCCTTAAGTGCTGCGCTGGCAGCACCATAAGTCCATCTCCCTCCAAGGGCAGAAATGAACATGGCAGCATCATAATTAATTAATATTAATAGGATGTATTAGTGTTAAGAATACGAATGGGGAAGTAGCTCAAATGATAACTGAAACTCCAGATCATTCATGTATCCCTCTAAACCTTCGTAACTGAAACAAAATCTGTCTAAAATTGGTAACTACATGAATGGTTCACGGAGCTTGTATCCAAGGAATATAAAACATCTTAGCGCAATACTCTCTCAAAAAGAGAACATCTTAGTTCAATAAAGCAAACATCTTATTTCTGAAACCTGCGAAGTTATAAAAAGAGTTGAAAAGATTACTAATTTGAATAGGAGATCCACAATTTAGAGGGAGAAGAAAATGGAAAAGAAAGAATGAGACAGGGATGCTACTATGAACACAGGTTATATATGTGAAAATCAATAATCTCTATTTTAGAAACACCACTCCTAACTGGAGCATAAAACATGATAGTACAAGCATGAGCCTCCAATGCTTCTGAATTTTCTTTTAAACTCTACTTCTAAGCTTTTTAGTCTAATGTGATTATCACTTTGTCAGATATACACACATTGACTTCTTAAAATAATAGAACTGGACAACTGCCATGCCATCCAACATCACCATGACAATTAAGGTGCGGCTCTACATTTTCTGTTGACAGAAATACAAAAGGAATGAAACATAAAAGGCCGTATGGCCACAATAAAGCATACCAGAGGAATAACTTTACATACCTAGTCCATATGGTAATGATAGATCCACATTGATTCTTCACGCCGCTTGGTCGCTGTACAATCTGTGGACACCACTCGCCAGCCTCTACTCAAATCCTCTAACGCCCTGCAACCAGATGTGTTAACTCTCCAAACTGTCAGAGTCGCTGCCTCCTCCACTAAAATGAGTAGTGTTGTTGTCTACAAAAAATATTAATTTCAAAAGGAAGAATATAGTGAAATCAAAGCTTCTCTCAATTGTGATGTCAATAATCTGTTGTGGGAGACAGTCTATAAATATCACACCAAAGACAGTTTGTGATGAAGTTTCTCTTAAATGTTATTTTCCATGGAAGTGGTCATATAATTCCTAGGATAGAGAGATATGATGAGATTCTCGAAGAACACAGTGATAGAAGCACCAAACTCGCCACTAAATATGCCAGTTCAGCATGCACAAAAAACTGAATAATAACCTCGGAAGGACAAAAAAACAGGCCAATAAACTTGGGATCGAAAAAACAGGTCAACTAACTTGGAAGGAGACCTATCATGATGCAGGCATAAATATCTCTCAGTAGTGATGTCTTGCTGCTATTTTACACGATAACAACACATAACCTATCAGATTTCCTTATTGGTAAATGTCTGTTCTTATAGTTAATTTTGAACTCAGCTTGGTCAGAACAGATATTGCATTTGTTATCCTTTTGTAACAGCTTATTTGGTGGCAGAAAATACAAATAATCCTGGCAGAGCCTCTACACCATCTTAGTCACCCAAGAAACTGCATATATCTAAAAGCACATAAAAGTAACCATATGTAGAATACATGTTTACCTTCTCCAAAGTCTGACCTTAACTTTTACTGATTGTCACTTTCCTGTAGTGTGAAGGGACCTCTGCATTGTAAACCGGTTTACCTGGACATTAGAAATACATCCCCTGGAAAGTCAATATCAAGCGTTAAGATTCTAAACTGCAAACACAAACAGTATCAGTAGATGCATAAATACCATCCTGACCCCATAGTTATAAGGCACAAATTGTCGGCTCTATTTGTCATAATCCATAGCATGGATTAATATGAAGAAAAACTGGAAGACAAGATGCAGCAATCTGAATAGCTGAGTGAACATTTGACAACTAAAGAATATAAGATATGGCAAGGATCTCCATCTTGTCAACTCCATGGAGAAGAGCAGGTGTCATCAGCACACAAAAAGAAGAAGGAGCCTATGAAAACTGAAACGACCATGGGGATGGGGGTGCTGCCTTGCTTACCCGCGCTAGGAGCCATCGAGGCGGTGGTACACGACCTCGTCGTTGGCCAACCTCGGCTGCACCACACCGGAGCAGACGAACGCGGCCATGGCGAGCACTCTTCCGTCGAGCTCGACCATGTGAGGGGCGCCGTCGTTGCTGTGGTGGTCGTCCTCGTCCATGGAGGGTGGCTGCTGCTCTAGATCGAACAAACAAGTGAGGGGGTCAGGAGAGAAGGAACAAGAGAAGAGCAGAGGAGAGGATCTGAATCGAGGTAAGGGGAGGGGATGGTAGCGCAGCTGTGGCTGGTCAGTGGCGGCGGCGGACGGGGAGGATGGCCGGCGGCGGCGGACGGGGAGGATGGCCGGCGGCGCGAGGGGAGGCAGGGAAGAGAGGAGTTTGGAAGGGGACGGGGCGGCGGCGGCTCTCCCTCGCGTGAACAGGAAGAGGGGAGGACGCCGATTGGGGAGAAACCCTATGGGTGTTGCACTTTTATACATCAAAGTGAAATTACGAAAATGCCCTCGGCATGGCAAAGAAAATACATGCGGTGGCACGAGATCTTTACCGCGAGACGGTAACTATTCATTGCTACAGGAGCGATGCCCCGATCTGATGGGCGACGTTCTCTCACCGCTCGATCGGACGCCCGGAAACGCATCAAGTAAACGAATCGGACGGCCAGAATCGCGTGAGCTCTCAGAGCGTCCGGGAGTGACTGGATCTCTTGATTTCTTGATGGGGAAACACTATTTAAAGGGTTTGGATTGACCATTATACAGGAAAACTGGAATGTGTTTTCATTCAGCAATAGGTAGCAGAACACACACACCTTTGTGTTTCAGTGTCAACAATAATAATACTATTTGGTGTAGTACTCCCTCCGTACCTACATATAAGTCTTTATAGAGATTCCACTATGGACTAACATACGAAGCAAAATGAGTGAATCTACACCCTAGAATGCATCTATATACATCCGTATGTGGTTTATAGTGGAATCCCTACAAAGACTTATATTTAGGAACAGAGGGAGTAGTATTTAATCAAGCAAACGCACGCTATGTTCGGCCCGCGGTTATCGGCTCGACCCAATCACACCGTAAAACAGAAACCAGATTGTTGGTGAAAATAAAATATAGCCTTTCACTAAAACATATACAAAAGGCGCATTATATGTGTTTCAGACACACCAGTTTTTGCAATGGACTTGCCAGCCATGCTGCGATGTATCCATCCTCCTGCATACCCCGCCACACTGAAATGCTCCATCTGATTCCCTTCCCTGCACTACCAAGCCCATTCAACTTGTGCCTCCCTCAACAGCTCAGCTCAAAGCGGTAGTCACCTTTTTTCATTTACTTCAGCAACCCAATCTGAAGCAGACGATAGTTTCCTGCAATGGTGAGGCAGGGAGCTGAATCAGTAACGAGATCAATCAGCGAAGCCAGATCGAGACAAAAGGCTAAAAATGACATACAAAGGCAACTCAAGTTCCCATCGCTGAGTCAAACATGGAAGAATTGATCAGGTTCAGAACAATCAGTGATCTGACTGGCAGGTGACGTGTTCAGATCAGGACACTCAGATTCGAGGCCCAAACTAATCCAAAATACAACTAGCATTGATAATTAAATAAAGATCAGCAAGAAGAATAATGCGGTGCGGGGATTAGATTCTTGCTAACTCGGTAGGATGACAAGAAGATTCACAATATGCTGCTGGGAGAAATGGCATCTCGAGAGAGTAACCAGCTACGGCGCCGATATGGTTTTTGATCTCATGCACTAAACTACAGGTCTCATCTTGGTTAAGCTATAGGCACTGACCTTCACTTATTGGCTTCTTTGCCCACATGGCATCTCTTTCATCCTTGCAGCACTTATTTTTCTTGTCCACAACATCGTAAAAGAAGTTTGATACCTGCAAAATGGTGTCTGGATGTTTCCCCAACATCTAGAGAAGTCACCCAGGGGGCAGGGGCTTGCTGGTTTGCACCATGGTCGATGGGTTAGCCAGCCTCGGTTCGATCCACAGCTCTACCTTAATAATATTGATGACTAGTTCCTCCTGGGTACCACTCCTTTTTCCTTCTCCCAGCATCTATCAGCATGTTTGCAGCTCTCTTTCCCAGCACATTTTCATCATGTGCTTCGTAGCTCCACAAAACTGAATTCCAGACCTTGGGACAAAGGAAGCCATAGGAATTCCACTTGGCCTCACTGAGCATGGAGCATGGAACTACGGCTGCAGGGTGCCATGGATGCGCCACCTCCTTTGTCTACATTTTCAACCCTGAAATGCCACAGAAAAGAAACCACCAGAGTTACTGGGCAGGCCTGTTCAGCAATCTATATGTCCCATCTAGACTATTGACTTCAGCCTACTTACCCTCGGTGTTACTGGGCTGGCCTGTTCATTAACATGGCAACAGGTCACAGAAACTGCAGCTTAGGAAACAAGGGCAACCATGCAGATTACACGAGAAGAACATGGATACCATTCACTTCCATCAGTTCGATCTCCACCTGGACTATGTGTGTGCTGAATGTTATCGTGTGAAGAGGAGCTCATTTCCAGTGAGCCAACTGGTATTCATCAGTGTGACACAACTGACCTTCTTTTCCTGATAAAGTAGCCATTGCTCTCAGAGGATGAACATGAGTAATCTCTCTAACTCAAATGGCACATCGAAGAGAACAGAGGATACCTTTGGCAACTGGGAATCACGACCTGAAAGCTAATCTGAAGAAGAAATAGTATTATGTTTTAGTGTTTCCTCATCCTTCAAGCTTTACACCAGGACCAGCGCCTTACAAAGCGTTAATCACCAAAAATCATTGCAAGAACATGCTCCACCCCTGAAGTGATGGAACCGACTCCGGTCTCTAACAATGATTTCCCGGTTCCAAAGCCTTGAGATCAACTTGATTGCAGAGTGGCAGTCCTCACAGACCCGGAGATTCTTTATGATATGAACCGGTAGGTTTGGTGCTAGACTAATGAGGCCAAATGCAATGGCCAATTTCTCACTGTGTGCTAAAAGTGCCTGTTCTTTCTCTTCCTCATCGACATCCACTGTTATCTGCGACGTGATAGGTGAATATCCTACTGACTTTAAACTGCGTCTAATCTCCTCCAACATTACAATAATCTCCATTCTGCGTGGATGTGATCGGTCACCAACTACAAACTTATGCACCTCCCCAGCCACGGCAATCGAGCTGTAACCGGCAGTCTTCTTCACACCCCTTTCTTCCATCAATCTCCTTATTTTTGATGCATCTTCCCATTGTCTAGAATCAATGTAAATGTTATACATCTGGACATAGACAGCATCCTCAGCTGGCTCTAGCTTCAGAAGATGATCTGCAGCATTTTGAGCTAGATCGACGTTCTTGTAGACTCTACAAGCACTCAAGATGGAGCCCCATATCACAGCATTTGGCTGCATTGGCATGGTCCGCACAAGATCCATAGCTTCATCCAGAAGTCCACTGCGGCCCAGCAAATCTATCATGCAGCCATAATGCTCAATTTGGGGGCGTACATTGTGCACCAATCTCATCTCGTCGAAATACAGACGGCCTTCATCCAGTAGGCATGAATGACTACATGCAGTCAAAACAGCAATGTATGTAACTGAATTGGCATGAAAGCCATCACACTTCATCCAGAAGAAGTGCTCCAGAGCAGCCATACCCATCCCATTGAATGCGAGACCTCCAATCATGGCGCTCCAAGTGTGAACATCTCTCACACTCATCTGTTTGAAAACAACAGTCGCCTCTTCCACCCTCCCACACTTCATGTACATGTCCAAGAGTGCAGTACCAAGGTAAACATCTCTTTCCACCAGCCTCTGCTCAATGCAAGCGTGCAAGGCCCTGCCCTGTGGCAATGCACCTAAACTTGCTGAAGCAGTTAGAAGGCCCACCATGGTAAAATTATCAGCACGCAAACCATGTCTCCTCATCTTTGTGAAAAGAAGTAGCGCTTCTCTAAGCCGGCCACCATGGATGTACCCAGTGATCAACGAGTTAAATGTGATGATGTCATGGTCCGCCATCTGATCAAACAGAGAGCGTGCAATGTCAACATGGCCTACCTTGCAGTATCCATCAATCATAGCATTCCATGGCTGGGGTCCTCGGCCCCTACCTAAAGCATCAAAAACCTCCCTTGCACAGGCAATGTCACCACACTTGGCATACATGTCGATGAGCGCAACTACAAGTTTGTTACTCATCAACATCCTCTTGTCCCCAACCAGCATGTGCAGTGAGCGTCCAAAATCCAAATCCTTCAGCTGAGCACATGCCGAGAGCACGCCAATCACGGTAACCTCATCCGGTGCAATGCCATCAGAAAGCATGCGGTTGAAGCAATCCACAGCCTCAGCAGCCCGACCAGCACGCGAGTACCCCGAAATCAAACCAGTCCAAGCGACCACGTTCCTCGTTGGAGCCCGCGCCAGAAGGCGCCGCGCATCATCAAGCAGCCCCGTCTTGGCCAGCCCACTGATGACCGTCGTCCAAGCAACCGCGTCCTTCACAGAAGCCTCGTCGAAAGCCCGGCGGGCATCGCCGGGGAGCTCAAGCCCAGCGTACATATGGATGAGAGGGCTCGCAATGAGCGGCACTGCGGAGGGAAGCATGGTACGGAAGCACGCGGCGTGCAGCATCCGGCACAGGAGGACCTGCGCGCGGCCGCGGGAGCAGCACTTGAAGAGGAAGTGGAACGTGAAGGCGTCGGGGGGCACGCCCCCGCGGCGCATACGCTGGTAGAGGAGGAACGGGTGCTCAGGTCCCGAGGAGGCGCGGAAGCAGGCGCGGAGCGCGGTGTCGAAGAGGAAGGTGGAGCAGGGCATTCGGTCGAACAGGCTGAGCGCGTAGCGGAGGTGGAGCGGGTCGCCGGGGGAAATGCAGCTGGCGAGGGAGTTGAGGAGGTGCGCGGCGGAGGGCTGGTGGAGGAGGCGGCCGGACGCGGTGAGGAGGGCGTGGAGCTCCGTGGCCTGCCGGACGGAGCGAGGGGTCGGCCATGGCGCCCGGGTCATCTCACGTCGCGGCTGCTCGCGACGAAGAAAGACGGCCGTGTTTATTTTGATGTAGTGGGCTCGTGCTTCTGTTTAGCTGCCCATCTAATACGTCGCTCATTGTGACACTCGACCAAACGCACAGGCCGGCCCATCTGTCTGTTTTCAACCGGACTTTTTATTTGGGGAGCCACTAGTTAACGAGCTCTCCCACCTCGCAACGATCAGCGTCACTCGACATGCTCTCAGCAATTTGTCATGTGTCATACTTTGGGCGCTCCCTTCAAATTTTGTTTTTTATTTTTCCGCACGTGTTTTCGGCTATTTAAACGGGTTTTTTTCTGGGTTTTTTTTCAAAGTTTTGGTTTTTCACCGGTCTTCTTTAGCTTTTCGACAAAAAAATGTCAATTTTTTTCTCTTGCGAAAAACGCTTTTTATGTTTTTTCCCTTTAGCAAGAGGCACGGTTTTACTTCCGCGAGAGGCATGGTTGTACTTTCGCAAGAGTCACGGTCGTGCCTCTCGGAAACGAAAAAACGTGTTTCTGTTTTTTTCCTTTCGCAGAGTCACGGTTTTGCTTCCGCGAGAGGCACTGGTGTGCTTTCGCGAGAGCGTGCTTCTCGAAAACGAAAAAAACACGTTTTCTGCTTTTTTTCCTTTCGCGAGAGTCACGGTTTTGCTTCCGCGAGAGGCATGAGTGTGCTTTTGCGAGAGTCACGGCCGTGCCTCTCGGAAACAAAAAAACGTGTTTTCTGTTTTTTTCGTGAGAGGTACGGGTGTGCTTTCGCGAGAGTCACGGCCGTGCCTCCTCAGAAATGAAAAAAACATATTTTCTCTTTTTTCTCCTTTTGTGAGAGTCATGGTTTTGCTTCCGCGAGAGGCACGATTTTGATTTCGTGAGAGGCACGGGCGTGCCTCTTTCGGAAAGGGGAAAAACCCGTGCTCCCGGTTTGGTTTTTTTGTTCGGTTTTTTTGTCGGTTTTTTTCATGAAAAAAAAGTTCTTCAAAATATATTAACATAGGATCTAGTTTTGAAGATCTTGACACGAGGAATGCAATGATGAAAACAATTTGAGATTTGGACGCACGGTTTGCAAGATAAAATATTTTGAATAAACGGATCTACGAAAAAAAGAAAAAACTCCCGGGTTGCGACAAGTGGCGCGCTGTATGTGTGCCACTTGTCGCAACCTGAGGGGTTGGGGTGATCTTTGCAACGAGTACTCCTCAACTAATGATTTCTTTTTATTTCGATATCACTAATTGCAAAGATCACCTCATCTTCTCAGGTTGTGACAAATGGGAGCGCCTATATGGCGACCTAGGCGCTGCGGAAGAAGCGAGCGCGCACCCCTCGCGCACTGCTGGGCCAGCCCATCTGCGAACCAGGACGCCGCCTTGTTTTTTTCCTTTTCTTTCAGTAATTCGGGATATCAAAAAGTTCTAAAATTTCAGAAAAATTGCTATTTTAATAAAACAATCATGATTTCGAAATGTATTCATAATTAGAGAAAAATGCTCAGGAATTCAAAACTGTTCATGAATTTGTAAAAGATGTCCACAAACTCAAAAATGTTCGCTAATTCAAAAAAGGTTTGTGAATTTGAAAAAAATGTTCATGATTCAAAAAATGCTCGCTAATTTGAAAAATGTTCAGGAATTCAAAAAAAATGTTCACTAATTCAAAAAATGTTCGTGAATTTGAAAAATAATATTCACGATTCAAAAAAAGGGTGCTAATTCAAGAAATATTCAAGAATTTCAGAAAAATATTCACGAATAAAAATATGTTCACTAATTCAAAAAAATGTTTGTCAATTTGAAAAAATGTCCGTGATTCAAGGAAACATTCGCTAATTCGAAAAACGTTCATGAATTTGAAAACAAATGTTCACGATTCAAAAAAATGTTCATGATTCAAAAACAAAATTTCACAAATTCAAAAAATGTTCACAAATTTGGAAAAAATGTACAATATTTCGAAAATTTAGTCTATAATTTAAAATTTTCATTATTTGGAAAAAATGTTCATTAATTCAAAAACATGTTCATGACTTAAGAAAATGTTCACAAATTTCTAAAAAATGTTCACAATTTCGAAAAAATGTTCGTGAGTTATAAAAAATGTTCACGGTTACAAAAAATGTTCACGATTTCGGAGATTGTACACTAATTAGTAAAAATGTTCATCATTCCAAAAAAAGTTAACGACTTAAAAAATAAATCACAAATTAATAGATTTTTGGAAATCGGAAAAAAGAGTAAAAATGAAAACATACAAGTAAAGAAAAAACGAAAAGAAAACGGAAAAAGGAAAAAACGAAAAACACGGTTCAGGGAAGGTTCTAGAACATTTCCAAAATCGGTTGGGGGTGAAACCCCGAAATGGGCGCCCATGTTAACAACAGCGAGCGAGGGGGGGGGTGGTACGCGCTACGTCGCTACACGGTACGCGCCATATAGGAATGCGTGCCATTTGTCACAACATGTGAGTTTTCTTTTTTTTCGTAGATCCATGTATTCAAAACATCTTATCTCTTAAACCGTGCGTCCAAATCTCAAACTGTTTTCACCGTTGGATTCCTTGCGTCGAGATCTTCAAAACTAGATACCATGTTGATAGGTTTTAACGAACTTTTTTTCACAAAAAAACTAGATGAAAAAAACGAACCGGGAGCACGGTTTTTTCCCTTTTTGAAAGAGGCATGGTCGTGCCTGTTGGGGAACGTAGTAAAATTTTGCCTACGATCACGCAAGTTCTATCTAGGAGAAGCATAGCAACGAGCGGGGAGAGTGTGTCTACGTACCCTCGTAGACCGAAAGCGGAAGCGCTTAGTAACGTGGTTGATGTAGTCGAACGTCTTCGTGATCCAACCGATCAAAGTACCGAACGTACGGTACCTCCGCGATCAGCACACGTTCAGCTTGGTGACGTCCCTCGTACTCTTGATCTAGCTAAGGCCGAGGGAGAGTTCCTTCAGCAAGACGGCGTGGCGACGGTGATGATGAAGTTACCGGCGCAAGGCTTTGCCTAAGCACTACGACGATATAACCGAGGTGTGTAACTGTGGAGAGGGGCACCGCACACGGCTAAAAGATGAACTTGTGTGTTCTAGGGTGCCCCCTGCCCCCGTATATAAAGGAGGGAGGGGGAGGCTGGCCGGCCCTAGGGGCGTGCCCAAGGAGAGAGAGTCCTACTAGGATTACCAATCCTAGTAGGATTCCTCCACAAGGAAGAGAGGAGGAAGGAAGGAGAGGGGGAGGGAGTAGGAAAGGGGGGCGTCGCCTCCCTTCCCTTGTCCAATTCGGACTGCAAGGGGGGAGCCTGCCCTGGCTTCCCTCCTCTCTCTTCAACAAGGCCCATGGTGGCCCATTAGTTCCCCCGGGGGGTTCCGGTAACCCCTCCGGCACTTCGTTTTTACCCGAAACTATCTGGAACACTTCTGGTATCCGAAAACATGGTCCAATATATCAATCTTTATGTCTCGACCATATAGAGACTCCTCGTCATGTCCGTGATCTCATCCGGGACTCTGAACAACCTTCGGTCATCAAATCACATCAACTCATAATACAAATCGTCATCGAACGTTAAGCGTGCGGACCCTACGGGTTCGAGAACTATGTACGCATGACCGAGACACACCTCCGGTAAATAACTAATAGCGGAACCTGGATGCTCATATTGGCTCCTACATATTCTACGAAGATCTTTATCAGTCAAACCGCATGACAACATACGTTGTTCCCTTTGTCATCAGTATGTTACTTGCCCGAGATTCGATCGTCGGTATCATCATACCTAGTTCGATCTCGTTACCGGCAAGTCTCTTTACTCGTTCTGTAATGTGTCATCCCGTGGCTAACTCATTATACACATTGCTTGCAAGGCTCATAGTGATGTGCATTACCGAGAGGGCCCAGAGATACCTCTCTGATACACAGAGTGACAAATCCTAATCTTGATCTATGCTAACTCAACAAACACCATCGGAGACACCTGTAGAGCATCTTTATAATCACCCAGTTACGTTGTGACGTTTGATAGCACACAAGGTGTTCCTTCGGTATTCGAGAGTTGCATAATCTCATAGTCATAGGAACATGTATAAGTCATGAAGAAAGCAATAGAAATAAACTAAACGATCATAGTGCAAAGCTAACGGATGGGTTTTGTCCATCACATCATTCTCTAATTATGTGATCTCGTTCATCAAATGACAACACATGTCTATGGTTAGGAAACTTAACCATCTTTGATTAACGATCTAGTCAAGTAGAGGCATACTAGGGACACTATGTTTGTCTATGTATCCACACATGTACTAAGTTTTTCGTTAATACAATTCTAGCATGAATAATAAACATTTATCATGATATAAGGAAATATAAATAACAACTTTATTATTGCCTCTAGGGCATATTCCCTTCAGTCTCCCACTTGCACTAGAGTCAATAATCTAGATTACATAGTAATGATTCTAACACCCATGGAGTCTTGGTGCTGATCATGTTTTGCTCGTGAGAGAGGCTTAGTCAACGGGTCTGCAACATTCAGATCCGTATGTATCTTGCAAATCTTTATGTCTCCCTCCTTGACTTGATCACGGATGGAATTGAAGCGTCTCTTGATGTGCTTGGTTCTCTTGTGAAATCTGGATTCCTTTGCCAAGGCAATTGCACCAGTATTGTCACAGAAGATTTTCATTGGACCCGATGCACTAGGTATTACACCTAGATCAGATATGAACTCCTTCATCCAGACTCCTTCATTTGCTGCTTCCGAAGCAGCTATGTACTCTGCTTCACACGTAGATCCCTCTACGACGCTCTGCTCAGAACTGCACCAACTGACAGCTCCACCATTCAATAAAAATACGTATCCGGTTTGTGACTTAGAGTCATCGAATCAGTGTTAAAGTTTGGATCGATGTAACCGTTTATGACTAGCTCTTTATCACCTCCATAAACGAGAAACATATCCTTAGTCCTTTTCACGTATTTCAGGATGTTCTTGACCACT